GAGTGATGAATGCTGGGTTGAGAGGCAGTTGTCAAAGATAACAATCATTAAGTTTCTTGCTTAGGCAACTGAGTGGTTGAAGATATAGCAATAGATCAGGGAATTTTCCACCACAGCTGCTTTGTCTCCTTTGTCATGGGTTGGTAAAGGCGATTTGAAGAGGTGTTTGCCCTGTCTGTGTATGTTTGGTCAAGTCTAACTCTCACACAGCCTCCTTGAACTATAGTGGCTAACCACAGCAAGCACTTGAAATGACTGTGCAGATCAACCACTTACCACACAATTGGCCACGAGGAGCAACAGGCTGATAAAGTTTGTTCACTGGTAATCAGCTCCATTTTGTCTTCTAAAGCATAAAAGAAAGGCGTCTGCTAGGTACACATCATTACTGTGTTGCCGTTTTCCTCCCTTCCTGCTCTTGCCAGCCTTCCCCGAAACTCTGGCCTTGCTTTACTCCCTTTCTCTTTAGTGAAAGGTGACAGTGGTTGTCTTAGGAGATGGTCTGGCTTTCAGCCAACCTCCGTTATCAGGCTGCCTTGTCAGGACCTATCAATTTCAGTAGCCCAGCAGTTGGCTGAGAAGCAAAGCAAAGCTTCAGTGTATACAAAATACGCTCATGTGTATATACAAACACACAGTGCCTTTATACATATACCTGGGATAGGTCAAAATTGTTTTTGTTCTTTTTTTGAGACAGAGTCTCAAGCTGTCACCCTGGGTAGAGTGCTGGGGTGTTACAGCTCACAACAACCTCAAACTCCTGGTCGTAAGCAATTCTCTTGCCTCAGCCTCCCAAGTAGCCGAGACTACAGGCACCTGCCACAATGCTCAGCTATGCTGTCCTGGCCTGGGCCAGGTTCAAACCTGTCAGCCTTAGTGTACGTTGCTGGTGCCCTACCCACTGAGCTATGGGTGCTGCCCTCAAAATTGTATATGACTGGGTGGCATCTATGGCTCAGTTAGTAGAGCGCCGGCCCCATATACCGAGGGTGGCGGGTTCAAACCTGGCCCTGGCCAAATTGCAACAAAAAATAGCTGGGTGTTGTGGTGGGCGCCTGTAGTTCCAGCTACTTGGGAGGCTGAGACAAGGGAATTGCCTAAGCCTAGGAGTTGGAGGTTGCTGTAAGCTATGACACCACAGCACTCTACCGAGGGTGATAGAGTGAGACTCTGTCTCTACAAAAAAAAAAAAAAAATTGTTATATGACAAAATGCCCATTTGTAAATGAACTGGCAGTCTGAACTGACCTTAATACACGGAATATGGCTAAAAGCTGAAGGCTCTTGATTCTAGGTTAAAAACAACTAATTAGGCTTGGCGCCTGTGGCTCAAGCAGCTAAGGCACCAGCCACATACACCTAAGGTGGCGGGTTCAAATCCCCAGCCCGGGCCCGCCAAACAACAATGATGGCTGCAACCAAAAAATGGCCAGGCGTTGTGGTGGGCGCCTGTAGTCCCAGCTACTTGGGAGGCTGAGGCAGGAGACTCGCTTGAGCCCAGGAGTTGGAGGTTGCTGTGAGCGTGATGCCATGGCACTCTACCCAGGGGGATAGCTTGAGGCTCCGTCTCAAAAAAAAAAAAAACAAAAAAACAACTAATTAATTTGATTTTTTAAAAAAAGCACTTGCAAATGAAATAAAAGTCAACACATTTCAAAAGTAAAATAGGACTCTTACCACTACAAAATTAACTCAAAATGGATCAAAGGACTAAACAGAAGAGCTAAAACTTGGAAGAAGACATAAATTTTCATAAACTTGGATTTGGTAATGGATTCTTAGATTAGACACCAAAAGCATAGGAAACAGACAAAAAATTATACTTCATCAACATTAAAGACTTATGAGAGTCCAAAGACATTATTGAGACAATGAAAAGTCAACCTATAGAATGAGAAAACATCTGTAAATCACATATCTGATAAGGACTAGTATCTAGAATATATAAAGAACTCTTACAACTCAACAACAAAAAGACAAAGGAGTCACTTTAAAAATGGGCAAAAGCCTTGAATAGACATTTCTCCAAAGAAGATTTAGAAATTGTCAATAGGGCATGCCTGTGGCTCAAGGAGTAGGGTGCTGGCCCCATATGCCAGAGGTGGCAGGTTCAAACCCAGCCCCTGCCAAAAACTGCAAAAAGAAATATAAAAACTGTTAATAGCCTTTAAAAAAATAGAAATAGTCAATAAACACATGAAAAGATACTCAATATCATTAGCCATTAGGGAAATGCAAATTAGGACTACAAGGAAATACAACTTCACAGCCACTTAGATGTCTGGAACAAAAACAAACAAACAAAAAAACATGAAAACAAGTGTGGACCAAGATGTAGAGAAACTGGAACCCTTACACTTTGCTGTGGGAGTGTAGAATGATGCAGCTGCTTTGGGAAACAGTTTGATGGCTCCTCAAAAAACTAGACAGAATTACCATATGATTCAGTCATTCCACTCCTAAGAATAAACCTCAGAGAATTGAAAGCAAGTATTCAAACAACTACTTGTAAGTACATGCACGTTCATAGCCACACTATTCACAATGCCAAAAGTTGAAAACAACCCAAATGTCCAACAATAGCTAAAATGTGTTATATACATACAATTATTATTCAGTCATAAAAGAGAATGAAGTACCGGTACTGATACTTTAACCTGATGATTCAACATGTATGAAAGTTGGAAACAATATACTAGAAAAACCAGACACATAAAAGTCACATATTGTATGATTCCACTTATACTACGTATGAAATATCATAATAGGCAAATCCATAGATCCAAAAAACAAATTGGTGGTTGCCAGGGGCTGGGGAATGGAGGAACTGGAATGACTGCTTAATGGTTGTGGGTTTTTTTTGTTTTTGGTGACGAAAATGTTTTGTAAATAGTTAGGCGTGATAGTTGTACAACATTGTGAATGTACTTAATGCCAATGCACTTAATGAATATACTGAATTGTACGATTTATTTATTTATTTAGAGACAGAGTTTTACTCTGTTGCCCCAGGCTAGAGTGTCATGGAATCAACCTAGTTCACAGCAACTTCAAACTCCTGGCCTGAACTGATACCCCTTGCCTCAACTTGAGTAGCTGGGACTATAGGTGCCTGCCATAAACGCCCAGCTGGTTTTTCTATTTTTGGTAGAGATGGGACTCTCTCTTGTTCAGGCGGGTCTGGAACTGAGCTCAAGCAAATCCACCCACCTCAGACTCCCAGAGTGGTAGGATTGCACTGTGTGAGCCACTGTGCCCAGCCATGAATTGTGTATTTTAAAATGGTAAACTTTATGAATTTTATCCCAATATTTTAAAAAGAAACAAAATCATGAAGGAATATGTCATCTGCCTGCCAAATCTAAAAGGCTGTCATACAAAGACAGATTTTATTTTTTTCTGGATAGTTCAGAGAGCAGAATCAGGGAAGTTATAGTAGGACAACTCTGAGATAATAAGGAAGAACTTTCTAACAATAGGGCTGTTTAATCCAACGGGCTGCCTCCCAAGGAAGTAAGATTACTCTGTACTGAAAGTGATCAAGTTGGACATGAGTTCTCCAGGAAGTTATAGATTTCTACATGAGGTTATGGTTGGGAATTTTTGGTTTAATTATTTTCAAGATAAGTCCATCTTCCCTTCACCCCTGTAACTTTTAAACTATTCCAGAGGTCTTAAAGAATTCCTTCAGTTTCAGTTTTTCCAGTACAGCCCAACCCTCTCAATCTGTAGAGGAAGAAAGTGTGGCATAGAAAGAGGAAGTACTCAATTAGAGTATAGTAAGTCTTCAGCAGCTGAGACGGCAACTCTTGGAGCCATCGCAGGTTCTTGCTAGTAGTTTGGGGGAAATCGCTCACTTACCTCATTAAAAGTATTTGTTAAGCACCTACTACACACTAAGGACTTTGCTAAGATACCTTATATGTAAATGTGAAGAATCAAACCTTCAAACAACAGTGAGCAATGATAAACAACCACGAAGATAACTTCCAAAACACGGAGATTTCCAAAACTTTGGTTTACTATGTGTACATATTCTACTATCAAAACTTCATGAGGTATTTATTAACGAGTGACACGGTCTGGGTAAGCTCTTCTGAATGTTCTCCCAGTCAAATTCGAAACGATCAACAGGAGGTTCAACAAAAATGCAAGCGATTTAGATAATCCCGCGACGGGAAAGATGATGAGATCCACTAATTCATTTTATTTCGTGGTTTAGACGGAAAGTTGGAAGTTACCACCTGCTCTGGCGACAAGAGCCCTGGGATCGCTGCAAAGGGAAGCAAGCCCAGGAGGGCGGGGCTCCCCGGGGAAAGACCAGCCCAGTTCAGGAGGATCCCGGGGATGCCGCGTTCCTCGGTGGAATCTAGCTCCCCCCTGACACTCTGGGGGAAGCCCAGGCCGACTGCCCCCGGCCCACCCAGCACTGAAACCGGAGGCGCCTTTGAGGATTGCGCAAAAGCCTCTCCTTCCCCCGCCTGCTCGGTGGCATGTTTCTAAAATTCCCATCTGCACAACATAAACAGGAAACGTGCAGCAAAAGGCCTGGCGGTGCAAATTCCTTGTATCCAGCCGAGGGCGGGGGAATGTCATCTTTGGTGGTGGTGACAGTGGTGGGTAGTCGAAGCAGCAAACTTTCCAAGTGGCCCCTCAACTCTCCCCGTCCATTCCCCCAAATCCAAAAGAAAAGAGAGAAGGCGGAAGGAAGGACCCCTTGCTTTAGGAAAAATAGGGAGAGGGAGGGGGGCTGTGAAGAAGCAGCCAGGCCTCAAAGTGAACCACCTCCAGCGGTTCCAATGGGAGCGCGCGCTGGGAAAAATCTCGGCCGCTCACTCCCCTAGCCCATCAGTCCGAGCGGCCGGCCAAGGGTGGGGTTGGGGGTGGGCTCCCGGCCTCCCCGCCTCCCGGCCCGGGCTCAGGGCCACCGAGCCGGCGCGGGTGGGGGCGGGGGAGGACCGGGCGCGAGGCGCTGCGCAGGCGCAGAGCGCGCCTCGGTTGTCAAACATGGCTGAAGTGCCGCCGCTGCCGCTACTGCTGCTGCAAGGAAAATGCTGAGCCCTCCCGGGCCGGGTGGGCGGCGGCGGCGAGGGCGGCGACGGGGACCCGCTTCCCGGGCGCGGCGGCGGCGGCCATGGCCCGGCTGGCCGACTACTTCATCGTGGTAGGCTACGACCACGAGAAGCCAGGTAAGGGTGTGGGGCGGGCGCCGCCCCCGCCTCCCCGCCCCTGTCCAGTGGGCTCCGCGGGGCCGGGCGTCGGGGCCGGGAGGCGGGGAGGGCCTGGCGGGGAGCAGAGGAGCGGGCTGTCGGCGTCCGGCCTTCTCGGCGGGGTTGAGTCTCGCGGTGGGCGTGGGGGACCAGCACGACTGGAGGGAGAGGGAAGAGGCCGCGTCTGCCCAGGCCCTGGGCTGACCAACTGGGCCAACCCAGGGCGAGTGAGGGTCCCGCGACCCAATCTCTGAAGGGGGCCGGGTACCAAGGGCAGTGCCCTGAAATTGGGCTCAGGACCGCAGGACTGGGAGGGCGGGAGCCAACTGTACTAAGTTCCTTGGGGCTAAACTTATGCCCTGCACCCTGAGTGAGTAACGAGTGACGCAGGGGGCTGTCCTTTCCGAAAGGAAGTGCTGAGAGTCCGGTGCTACCCCAAGTGCACTCTTGGGGGCCTAGTGAATGCATGGTGCTGGGGAAGGAGAAAGTATTCTTTTCCCTTTTAAACATTTCTAGGAAATGCTCCCTGTTCTTTCAGGACAAATGGGATGGGTATTTCAGAATGACATGAATATCTTTTAAGAGAAGGACAGTCAGTTGACTGCTGAAGATGATCTTCTTTTACTTTAATGTGTGTTTTAGTTGTTCTTTTCATTCATCATGCAGTTTTTTTCCGTAAGGAACAATTTGGCAAATGGATTGCATTTTCTTCTCTAACTGGTGAACTTCTGCAGCTTCTGAATTCTGGGTTCATACACGTTTATTTTTGTATTTATATTCTTTTATATTACTATATAGCTGAGCATAATATAAGAAATTGATATGGGAAAGCATTTTTTTTTTTGAAACAACAAGAATTCTCAGAGATCAAGGGGAAGCAATTCTATTTCAGGGTAATTCCAGCCTCACATTTGCAAGGAATTTTAGATATCAGCTCTACAGCCCCTTCACTTTGTTCAGAGAAGATGCTGAAACTGTGTTTTGCTGATGGTAACAACCATTGGTGGCATCAGAATACCATTGTTCTACCCACTCTTGGTCTGCTGCCTCTTTCATTATTCCCCTCCTAAGATCTTTTCTTTTCGTGGTAACCTTTCATATTCTTTTGTCCCTTACCACTCAAAAACTGATTGAAGTCAGTTGTTAAGAAAAGGGGTTGGGGGCAGCCGTAGCTCTGTGGGTAGGGCACCAGCCACATACACCAAAGCAGGAAGGTCTGGGTCTGCTAAGCAAAAATGACAACTGCAAGAACCACAACAACAACAAACAGCGGGAGCTGTGGCAGGTGCCTGTAGTCCCAGCTACTTGAGAGGCTGAGGCAAGAGAATCGCTTAAGCCAAAGAGTTTGAGGTTGCTGTGAGCTGTGACACCACACCACTCTACCCAGGGCGACAGCTTGAGACTCTTGTCTCAAAACAAACAAACAAAAAAAGGGGGCGGGTAGGATGTATTTAAAGTATCTTCTGGCTGCAGATTTTATGTTGTTTCCTAGTAATTTTGCATAGTTTGATATCTCTTTCCTACCAAGATTAAGTGTGGTCAATGATCGGTTTTTGTTTTTTTTTTAACATTGTTTAATTTTTTTTTGTTTGTTCCTTTCACTCAGGCTAGAATGCAGTAGTGTAATTATAGCTCATAGCAACCTCAAACTCCTGGGCTCAAGTGATTCTCCTGCCTCAGACTCCTAAGTAACTGGGGGCATACACCAGCACAACTGGCTGACTTGTCTTTTCTTTCTTTTTGTTCCATTTTATAGCCATGGGGTCTTGCTCTTGTTCAGGCTGATCTTAAACTCCTGGCCTTAAACAGTCCTCCCAGTCTCCCAAAGTGCTAAGATTACAGGCGTAGGCCCCTGAGCTCTGACACTTGTTTAGTTTTTAAGGACATTGTTCCCCTTCCCACTCTTTTAAGCAATTCTGAAACAGTAACAAACTTGCAGAAAAGTTTCAAGCATGGTACAAAGAATTTTCCCCCTGAACCATTTAAGGGGAAGCTGCTGACCTGGTGCCCTATCACCCCAGAGTGCTTTAGTGTGCATTTTTCACAAACAAGAATGTTCTGTATGCTCACAGTATATCATCAAAATAGGAAATTAACAGTGATAAGGTATTCTATCTGGTTCTCAGACTGGTTCAAGTTTTGTTGATTGTGCTGTTCATCTCTTTGCTGGCAAAAGTATCCAGTTCGGAAGTATGAGTTGCACTCATTTGTTATGTCTCTTTAGTTTGAAAACAGTTCTTTTATCTTCTTTCATGACCTTGACGCTTTGTGACAATAGAGGTCAGTCATTGCACTGTGCCTCTCACTCTAGGATTGTCCCCTCTTTATTAGATACATATTAGTTATGTACTTGTGTAGGAGTATCACAGAACTGATGATTGTTGCATCTTGTCAGGTGGTGCACAAGTTTACTTTTTTTTCATTATTGGTGATTTTTCACTTTGATTACTTGATATAAGCAATGTCTCCTGGGCTTTTCTAAGGTTAATACTTAATAGTTAAGTAGCTGGTTTTGTGAGGAGTATTTTGGTGTTTTTTTTTTTTTTTTTGAGACAGAGCCTCAAGCTGTCCCCCTGGGCAGAGTGCCGTGGCATTACAGCTCACAGCAACCTCCAACTCCTGGGCTCAAGTGAGTCTCCTGCCTCTGCCTCCCAAGTAGCTGGGACCGCAGGCGTCTGCCACAATGCCCGGCTATTTTTTGGTTGCAGCCATCATTGTTATTTGGCGGGTCCGGGCTGGGGATTCGAACCCGCCACCTTAGGTGTACGTGGCTGGCGCCTTAGCCGGTTGAGCTATAGGCACCGAGCCGTGAGGAGTATTTTGAAACTATGTAAACATCTTATTCTTCATTAGACTCTAAATATGTTTGTTTATTTATTGATATCAATATAGATTCATGGTTTTCTATTTTTTAGTGGATTATATTCTATTACTATTTGTCTTAAGCCTGCTCCAGCTGCTATAACAAAAGTACTTCAAACTGGATTGCTTATAAACAATAGAAATATATTTCTCACAGTTCTAGAGGCTAGGAAGTCCAAGATTAAGGGTGGGACAGATTGGGTGTCTGTGGAGGGCCTGCATCCTCACAACTGTGTTCTCACTGTAGCCTGAGGGGTTCATTGGCTTGAGGGGGCAAATGAACTCTCTTGGGTCTCTTTAATCAGGGAACTAATCCTGTTAATGGAGACTCCATCTCCAGGACCTGATCACCTCCCAAAGGCCCCACTCTTAATACCATTACCTTGGATGTTAGGATTTTAATATATGAATTCTGAGGAAGGGAACACAAATATTCAGACCATAGCCCTATTTATTTAGATATTCAAATTGTTTGTCATTCAGCCAGAGCTATTCAAGCTGGTTTTCTGTTCTTATGACACATCCCCATCATTCTTTGAGGATATCTTTTTACTTTTTGGTACAAGAGGGTATTCCTGGCTTATCTTGTAATTTCCCTATATTAGCCCTGGAATCAGCCATTTTTGTAGGGATCCCTGTTTCCTTTTGGTGGTGAATGACATTTAGAAACTAAGATCTCAGTGCTAATGTGTTTATTGCTGGTAGGTTGTTACTGCTTCCAGGCCTTCTTGGTTGGAGCTGGGGAATATATGTATGTATCATGTGCAGGTACATACACATTGACATCTGTATTTATTTCTAAAGTTATCTATGTATATTGAAAACTAGTGAATTCACACCCTGATACCTCATATTTCAGTTCAATACGCCAAGGTCGATTCCAGTTTTTTACCTTTTTCATAGGGCAGTATTCCCTGTCAGTAAGAAATCTGGCTTCCATTATCCTTGATTTATTATTTGTTCAGTCTCCCATCTTCACCACCACTCAAGTCTTCTTACTGTTGGAGCTCAGATTCTTCATTCCATCTCCCACTTTCCCCTATCCCTGTCAGGATCTAAGATAGAGTCCATACCTCTATACAGGGACACTCTCCCCACTTGCTCTGGCTTTAACTCCCCATGTTGGCATCCCCTCTGTATACTCACCACCCTCAGGCTTTGATACCCCACAGTGGGCTGTTTCCATTGGAAGACATTCTCCTCACTCTATTTGCACCCCAGTCCCTTCTGCCAGTTTGCTCCTCCTGCCTTGGCTCTCAGGCTCTGACTCACACATTTGGCCATTGCCTTACCACACGAATTCCTTCCTTAGCTCACTAGAGCTCCCACAAACCTCACATCCACCCCAGGGCTGCCATGACAACTGCCCTTTCAATAGCATGGAAAGGGAAGATTATTATTATTTTTTTAAGTAACAAAATCCAAAAATTGTATAAATTATAGAATGTCAATAGTGAAAGGTATAATTGTTTTTTAACTTATGGTAATTTTTCTTTAGTCATGTTTATTAAAGTATAATTTGTATACACTACAATTACTCCTTTAAGGGAACATTTTAATGAGTTTTGATAAATATATAATTAGTATAGCCACTACAGAAATCCAGGTATAGATATAGGCTGGGTATAGTGGCTTATACCTGTAATCCTAGCACTTTGGAAGGCTGAGGTAGGAGAATTGCTGGAGGCCAGGAGTTCATGATCAGCCAGAGTGAGACCTCATGTCTACAAAAAAATAGAAAAGTTAGCTGTGTGTGGTGCTTGTATTCCCAGCTACTTGGGAGGCTAAGGCAAGAGAATTGCTTGAGCCCAGAAGTTACAGGTTGCAATGAGCTGTGATGAGGCCACTGCACTCTAGCCTAGGTAACAGAGTGAGACCCTCTCTTAGAAAAAAAAAAGTTTTATATTTTTGGGGTGGTAGCGGTATGAATCTATTAATACATGTTTTGTATTTTGGGTGGTAGCTATATGAATCTGTTAATACATATGTGATAAAATTGCATAGAACTAAATGTACACACACTCACGTGACCACAAATAAGTACATGTATATCTGGGGAAATCTAAATAAGATTGGTGGATTGTGTAATATTCTGGTGGTGATACAATTTGGAAAGA